GGGGGGGGGCTGTGTCATGCCAGCACGTGTTCTGGGTGTTGTTTTGGGGCCGTTTGTCCCGAGTTGTGTGTTGAGTGTTGTGTCGTGTCAGAACCTGTTGAGGGTGAAATATTTTGGTGCGTTGCACACACACGAAAGCCCCTAAAAGTTTGTGTACAAAAAGGCAAAAGAAGCACCAACAATTTGTGGCTGCAAAGGTAAAAGGTCCAAAATTTGTACGGCTGGAGTAAAATAAAAATCAGAAATTCACACAGAGGGGCAAAAAACTTCCTAAGATTACTAACAGAGAGTGAAAAAAAACCCGATAAATTCAACCAGGAATGGCAAGAAGCTGGAATTTTTTGCAGAGACATGCCAAAAAAAAACCCAGAAATTTGTGCAGAGAGGTGCAAAAAACCAGAAATTTGTGTCCATCGAGTACAAAACCCCCACAAATTCTTGAAGATGTGGGGGAAAAATTCATAAGTGTATGGACACATTGCAAAACCCCAGAAATTTATGCACATAAAGTGAAAAAAAAACCCAAATTAATGCTCCAAGAGGCCCAAAACCTGATGAATTCCTGAACAACTGGCCCAAACCCATGTGAGAAATGAAGAAGACCCAGAAGCCACCACGTCTCAGCTGTGATTTTATTGCCTGGGGAGAAGCTGGGGGACCTTGACCTACGCAGGGGGTGAGGGGACGATGGGGACTCTGGGGATGTTTCTTCTGCCCCCCACATGGATTTATCTGCAAGAAGAAACCAAGAACTCAAGAGGAGGAATCACTCCTCCAACCCGTTCTCAATTTTCTCTTTTTTTGTAGGTTTTCACCCCAAACCCCAACTTACAGCCAGCAGTTGTTGCTGTTGGCCACCTTGGGTGCCTCAGTGGGGGCGCCTATCAGCTCCAAGTCATTCACCTGGAAGACCCAACGCCCCGGGACGTTGACGTTGGAGGTCTTGGTGATGTTGATGATGGCTTCGGTCTGAGAGCCAGGGATGTTGTAGAAGTTGGTTTCATCTCCACTGTTGAAGCCAGCCTGGAAATGAGGCCAAAATGGAGGATTCGGAGGGTTGACCCCCACCCAGTGTGGTGGGACAACCTCCTGCTGGTGGTGGTATCCCAAAAAGAACGTTATAGGACAACCCCTAACCTTTACTGAACCTGGTGGTGTCCCTCAAAAACATTATGGGACTCCCTCCAACCTTCAGTGAACCTGGTGGTGTCCCCCAAAATGTTGTGGGCCAACCTTCATCATCATCATCATCATCCCCATGAAATGGTATGTGACAACCTCCTGCCCTGAGTGAAACCTGGTGTTTTCTCCCCAAAATGTTGTGGGCCACCATCCTACCCTTGGCCTTGTCTCCCCAAAATGGTACAGGCCACCTTCCAGTCTTGGACAAACTTGGTGGTGTCCCTCCAAACCATTATGGGCCAACCTATCTTCAACACTGTCTACTACAAAAGAAATTATGGACTCAAGTCCTACCTTTAGTGGTTTTTTCCACCCAAAAAAATGTTGTGGGCCAAAGTCCTACCTTGATGTGGTCCAAAAAAGCCCTGGCCAACCTCCCCCCCAGTTCCTCAAGTCCCTTCATCCCAGTCCCCTCCTCATTTCCCTCAGCCCCACGTACATGGGCCGGGGTTCCTCCAAGTCCTGTTTCAGCATCTCCATCACTCGCCACCCCAGTTGTCCACTGGATGTCCCAATAGTTGAGGATGATGAAGGACGTCTCGGTGTTGGTGGTCAGGGCGGCTTGGAAGGTGTTGCCCTGCAAAGAGGAAAGGGGGAGGTGCCACCATCAGTGGTGGGATGAGCAGAAAACCCTCAGAAATTCACTGGGGAGGAAAGATTTGGGTGTGACACCTGTGTGGGGTGTTTGAGGAGCTCCCTGGGGTTTGTGGAGCCATCAGGGGCTGGTTGGTAGGACAGAGGGACCAGAGGAGACACGTTCACCTCAAATGCCATGAAGATGAACGAGCGGGTGGCAAAGACCAACAGATGGGCCACGAATATCCACGAATGGCTCGTGAAGGCCAGAAGTGGGACATAGAGGCCAAGGAAGAGGTCACGAAGGGCATCAGATAGATTGCGAGGACAACAAATGGGTCATGAGCCCAAGAAACGGGTCACAAAGGCCAACAAGTGGGTCACAAAGGCCAACAAGTGGGTCACAAAGGCCAACAAGTGGGTCACAAAGGCCAACAAATGGGTCACAAAGGCCAACAAATGGGTCACAAAGGCCAACAAGTGGGTCACAAAGGCCAACAAGTGGGTCACAAAGGCCAACAAGTGGGTCACCTGCAGCAGGAGCATTGGTTTGGGCCTGGGCCAATCCCTAGTCCCCAGTTGAAGGCCACAATTCCCTTTGCTCTCCAAAACTCATTCGCTGGTGGTCACCTGCTGGTCTCTGCCCCGAATCAGGGTGGGACAAATTAATTTTCATCTCCTCCGAGCTGATCTGGCCCTTCAGGTCCTGACCCTGGAGCTCACCTTGTTGCTTTCCGAGCCGTAGTAGGCCACGTTGTCCCAGGTGGCCACGAAAGCCCACGTGGCGGCGTAGGGGACCTCGGGGAAGTACCGGTTGATGTCCTCGGTGACGCGTGCCAGCAGCGCCGGGTCGGTGGTCTGGCGGTAGAAGACATCTCCTCCCATCACGTTGTTGACATCCGCCCAGAACGGGGTGACGAAGGGACTCCCGTCGGCCAGGGGGAAGGGGTCGGGGGTGTACTGGCTGACCCGGGTGTCGCAGGAAATCAA